GGGATTACAGCAAGCGAAGCAAGGCAGGTGTGTGAAGGTAAGCAAACTGGAGGCTGGGGGGGAAGGGATTTTTGCTACCGGCTCTCCAAACTGCCCTCCGCCATCGCTACCTACTCGCCCGAGCCAGTCCGAACCTGGAGCATTTCACCCCTGGTTTGAAGCCACAACAGCACTGAAAAAAGCATTTTTCATAGTGACCATTTTTCAAAGTGACTTACAAGTCACAACCATTGCAGCATCCTTATGATCATGTAATCAAAATTCAAATGCTCAGCAGCTGGTTCATACTTATGACCATTGCTGTGTCCTAAAATCATGTGACCCCCCCCCTTTTGTGACCTTCTGCCAAGCAAAGTCAATGGGGAAACCAGATTCACTTAACAAATGTGGTACTAACTTATCACCTGCAGTGATTCACTTAACAACTGTGGCAAGAATTTTTTTTTTTAATTTGATTTATATGCCGCCCTTCTCCGAAGACTCAGGGCAGTTTACAATGCGTTAAGCAATAGCCTTCATACTTTTGTATATTTATACAAAGTCAGCTTATTGCCCCCACAATCTGGGTCCTCATTTTACCTACCTTAGAAAGGATGGAAGGCTGGGTCAACCTTGAGCCTGGTGAGATTTGAACTTGCAGTAATTGCAGGCAGCTGATGTTAATAACAGTGCTTTAGTCTGCTGCGCTACCAGGCTCTTTTGTCATAAAATGTCATAAAATGGGGCAAAACTCACTTAACAAACGTCTCACTTAACAACAGAAATTTTGGGCTCATTTGTAGTCGTAGGTTGAGGACTACCTGTCGTGAAATTATCACTGAAATATTCTGCAATAGTTCACACTGTCAGGAAGTTTCTCCTTAGTTTTATGGTTGCTTCTCTCTTTGTTCAGTTTCTATCCATTGCTTCTTGTTTTGCCTTCTGGTGCTTTGGAAAATACATTGCCCCCCGCTTCTTTCTGGCGGCCCCTTAAAAGCCTGTTGCCTATCACACTCTTGGGCAAAGCATGTGAGCCATTTCCTCCTTTCAGTGGTCCATGAAAGTGCATCTATAGTATGTAGATAATAAAGTTAAAAAAAGGTGAACAACATTTTTACAGAACTATAGATACGTTGAGGCTGGGTGTGACAAGGAATGGCTGGGAGGGGAGGGGCCAGGCGAGGCACCCCTTGACTTGAGTGACATTGAGTTGGCTATGCCCACCCAGGCACATGACCATCAAGCCACACCCACTGTCACATGACCATCAAGCCATGCCCACAAAATAAGCCACACCCACAGAACTGGTAGTAAAAAAATTTAGAAGCTACATATATATATATATATATATATATATATATACTGTATGTATGTATGTATATATATATATATATATAATGTGTGTGTGTGTGTGTATTTCTCAGCAGGGAGCTTACTGGCTGCTGAAAAAAAAGCCTAGAAACTAGTGGATTGGGATTTCACTGAACTAGGGTTTTCGCGGGTGTTTGTATGTAGGTCTTTGGTTATTCGGGTTTTCTCCCGCGTAAAATTGGAAGTGTCTTGGCAACGTTTTGACGAAGTCTCATTTGTCATCTTCAGGCTGGTGTCTTCATCTTCGTGCTTCTAGGAGCAAGGAGCTCCTTGGAGCTCCTAGAAGCACGAAGCCGAAGCCGAAGCGAAGACACCAGCCTGAAGATGACGAATGAGACTTCGTCAAAACGTCGCCAAGAGACTTCCAATTTTACGCGGGAGAAAACCCGAATAACCAAAGACCTACACACACACACACACACACACACACACACACACACATTTACAACCTTTGCAACATCCCCATGGACATAAGATTAAAATTCAGACACCTGGCAATTGACTCATATTTATGACAGTTGCAGTGTCCCAGGGTCATGTGATCACTTTTTGCGAACTTCTGACAAGTAAAGTCAATGGGGAAGCCAGATTCAGTTAACAACCGTGTTACTAACTTAACAACTGCAATGATTATCAAAACAACTGTGGCAGGAAAGGTTGTAAAATGGGGCAGAAGCTCACTTAACAAATATCCTGGTTAGCAATGGGAATTTTTGGGGTCAATCATGGTCATAAATCAGGGACCGCCTGTACCTTTGATCCTATTAATATCATCTGTTTTTATTGCTGAGTTTTCTTGTTTTCAAAGTCTTCTGGGAAGATCCTTTTAAGCTAAAAGGCAGAATATTGATTTTTACAAATTAAAATTCCAGAAAAAAACAGTGGCAAAAGAAATATAATAGGTAGTTCTCTGGAGGGAACCACCGCTGCCTTCAGTTCACAATACAATCAGAATCAGAATAGAATAGAGCTGGAAGGGAACTTGGAGATACAATGTACACACTAATTCTCAAAAGCAAAAGCAAACTAAAACAGTACAGTAGAATGCAGAGGATTTTTCTGCAAGCAGTTCCAAACTGCATGCAGACAAACTAAAGTAGAATGCAACGGCTGGCTTGGAAGCTTGTATAGATCCCGACTTACATAAACTAGTGTGCGCTTCTTTGTCGGGGTAAACTAGGCTTTCTTTGTGCTGGCGATAGATTAGGTGAAACGTATCACAACTGACTGTATTGTGACAGCATTAACAAAGATGCATTATGACTAAAGGCTTATCCAAGCTGCCCCTTTCCCAGCACAGACCAGTAGCTGTAGTCTCCAGATGAGTTTTATTACTCTGCCTTATAAAACACTGGGTTTTATTTCTTTTTCTTTTTTGCTTTGATCACAAGTGGAGCGCATCACTTTCCTCAAAGCCCAACCCTGCACTGTGATTGGCTACTCTGCAGAGGCAGGAACACCACCTCACTTCAAAGAGTAATTGCCAGGATTTCTGATGCCTTTTAGATCTAATATTGATGATCAGTATTACTGATTATTGGTAATATTGATACTACTGATTATAATACTTGCTTAAAATACAAAATGTTGGTTCAAAACACAGCAATTGTTTTTTTTTTAAAAAAAACACCTTGCAAAATTCCCCTGCATTTTGTTTCCACTAAAACAAAAACCTCATCAGTTCTCCAGTTATTTGAGGTAAAAGGATTTTGCAGTCCTGCAGTAACAGTTTCTGCAGTATATAGTTTATGGCTTTGTCTATATACTAAGATTCTCTGCTTGAGTCTGAACAGTTTGTATAATAAATTGGACAGGTTTGCCTGGACACATGATTGAAAAACTAAGATAGCTGAATCCAGCTTTCTCAAGTTTTTCAACATTTGAAATACAGCAAATTCTTTTTTAAAATCTCTTTTAGATATATACAAACAGAAAAGTATACAAATATAGAGGAGTAACCATATTAATTGGACTTTAATATGGGACTATACAGAAGGTCCCATTTACAATGAAACAATGGAAAAATTAAAAACTTTTAGACACAAAATACTGGTACATTTCTTGGTGCATAGAAACCATATGCATTCTTCCATAGGAGAAAATATCAACACTTACAGGGTAAACTACTCAGTTGTAATTTGATCTCCTTAAATTAATTCCAAAGCATATTAATTATATAAATACTTTAAACATCGCTTATACATTCCGTGCTTTCTGGACTCAGTGGTGGAAGATAGATTTGTGATGATATAAGTGATGTTTTATCATAAGCCATGCCACTTATATGAATTTCTATTTATGGCAGCTATACATTTGCAAAATCTCATTGCTGTCATTTGGAACATGCCTGGATGTGGTTGTCAACAATTTGAAAAATGTCTTTTTAAATAGGATTGCTTTTGCTGTTCAACCTACTGCATAAACATTGTGAAATGTTCTGTACAGTTTGGGAGGTTTTAAGGCGCATTCTCAAACTAAATTAAGTCCTATCAGAAGTTTAACAGTTAACCTGTTTTAGGATTTAATTTGTTAAACGTGGGGAAGCAAATTGAGCTGCTGAAAGCAATTATTTGAACACCACATACCTTCAAAGGGGGACTATAAAACAGATCTGAACAACAGGGTTGTTCTTCGTTTTTCCTGCCTTGAAGATTGAATTTCTCCTGGAAGGATAAGTTTTTAAATGGAGGCTGCTGGCTTATCCTCTGCATTGTACATTAAGTAGCATCTTAGCTATGATATATGTAGTTGCATGTGTATGTAGTCTTGTAGTCTGTATGTAATTGCATATATATGTGTGTGTGTGTAATTCATTTTGCCACACGAAGTCAAAGCAATCACTGAAATAAAAATTTGAGTAAGAATTGTTTCAAAGAATGAAAAGAAAACTCATTCCTGAAACTGCAGTCTCAAATGTAAATGGTAGTAATCAATTGTCCCAGGATGGAGAACTTTTTCAAACAAACTATTTTATTTGATTCCATCAACTGTTGATAGCTTGAAATCCCTTGGTTAGGAGAGCCTTAGGATCCTTCCTGGCTTGGATAAAAGTGCCTTCATTAGCTTTCCAAAATTTTCGTTTGTGGCCTCCGTTGGGAAAGAATTCTGAAGTTAAGGAATCGCTATAATGAAAGTTGCCCTCGCCAATCATACAGCAAGTGATTATTCCCAATAACATTGTTAACGTCCTAGATATTAATCTGGTTTGAAGCGGGCTGCTGCTTTGAGACAATTCGGGTTAGGATTAAAGCAAAATAAAATTTGCATTAAGTGATTTTTTTTAAAAAAACCGTGGACCATGTTCAAATCCGAGGGTCTATATTGCAAGTTTGCAAACTTCCGAATCCGGTCGTTACGAGAGATCCCATTTCCACAACAAACTCGAGGGAGGGGAGGCCAGCAGAAAAAGCGTGCTATAATCCCATAAATTTGGGGGGGGAAATCCTTTATGTCTTAATTGCTTAATCTTGTGCTTTTACTTTAAGAATAACTTTTATCCGAGTTGCATGCTTCTCTCCCAGGCTTCGCGCTTTTTCGAAAGGCTTGGAAGGATTGGCCGCCGTCTCATCCGAGGGGCGGAGTTGGGAGCCTTGGCGCACAGTATAAAAGCCCCGGCTGGGGACCCGGGCAGGATTGTTGCTGGACACGCGGCCGTTGCATCTTTTTGCCAGGCGCTATGAGGCGTTCCCGAACATCAGGCTCCGCTTACAGAAGAGTCTCAGCGGCCCCTGCTCCCCGTCGGGGTCGAGCGGGAAGACCTCGGCACCAGAGGTCTCCCCTGCAGCCCCCTCGCCGCCGTCCTGCACCCGGGCGATCCCCACGAGCAGCGGCCGGTCGTGGAAGAAGACGGAGGTGCCGGCCCGGCCAGCGTGCCTTACAAGAGATCCGAAAGTATCAAAAGAGCACGGGGCTTCTCATTCCAAAGCTGCCCTTCGCTCGTGCGGTTCGCAGTGTCTGTCTGGAATACACCCGAGGAGTTGAGGTGACCTGGGAGCCGAAGGCGCTGCTTGCCTTGCAAACAGCAGCAGAAGTTTTCCTTATAGACCTCCTGGCAGATGCCTACCAGTGTGCCTGCGTTTCCAAGCGGAACACCCTCCTTCCCAGGGACATCCAGTTAATTCGGCGAAACCGTGGCCTCCAGGATGGTTTGGGTTAGTTCCCTTCCCCTGTTTTGCTGGGCTGAGGAGGAGGTATGTTCTGGGGCTACAGAGCTGCAAAGAAGCATCCTGGGACTGCTTTGGAGAAAGAAGAGCCAATTCCACACCACCTCCAAAATTCCAGGGATTGAGAGACCTGACCTGACCTGACCTGACCCCTTCCTATTGCTGGAACTTCCACAGGATCTCCCTGGTTGACATCTTCCCACCGCCCTGCTCAGAAGGGAAACAGGGATCCATCTATCCAGAGGTGAGAAGAAACGAATGGCCCAAGTACCTGGAAAGGACTAGAGTGACTTTTTTTGGCCTTCCTCCCAGCCACCCATTTTTAAAGCCTGTAGCCCTTCAGCAGGGGAGCTTCTGCAACCTTCAGTTTGAACCTCTCTCATGCCACAATGTTGAAAAATCGTTCACTGTTCTTGAAGCCTGTTCTGTGCTTTTGTGCTTCAGAGTTTAAAATGTTTAAAATGAAAATGTTTACATAAATCCTTGAATTTGTTATCCTTTCCTTCCTCTTCACTGCATTATTAGATGCCCATCAGATCCTTCCAGATCTGCCCAGTTGGATTCCCATGATTCTCTGCTGGTTGGAGATTATGGATTTTGCCACATTTACTTTCAGCCTGGAGAGGGGCAAATGTGAAGACATTCAATGTGACATTTGTCCTTTGCTCTGCTGCTGGTCTGGTGGTTATACTTGTTTCCCTGCTATCCAAACTAAGGCAAAGGAACCTCTCCAACTTGGAAGGACTGATCCCCTCTACAGACCCTGAGCTGAGATAGAGCAAAATAGGATAGGTAAACCTTTTGGGGTTATATTTCAACTCAACGGTAGAAATGGTGCGCATACAGATTACATTGTCAGACTAATCCAAAGAATTACCACACCAATCCAACAATATATACAATGCTTTATACATTGAAAGAGAAATACATATAGAAAATATACATATATAATATATACATTTTAAAAAATATACCAAGGAGATAGAACTGGTATAAAGGTCAAATAGGCAAGGAATTAGTAAGAGAATACCTATCACAGATGGCTTACATCTCAGGGTTTTGAAGGAGCTGGCAGATGTAATTTTGGAGCCATTGAATGTAACCTTCCAAAGCTCATGTAGCACAGGAGAAATATCAGAGGACTGGAAAAGAGCTGATATTCCAATCTACCAAAAGGGAGGGAAAATGGATCCAGGCAGTTATAGGCCAATCAGCTTGACATCGATACCTGGGAAAATCCTGGAAAACATAATCAGAGGATTTGTGAGCACCTAGAAACAAGGTGAATACTAGAAGCCAGTATGGGTTTGTTAAAAACATGCCAGACATACCTTACTGACTTTTTGCTAGAGTAATGCTATGAATATGGTATATTTGGACTTCAGTATCTTCAGTAAGATATGTCACAAAGTATCAATCTGGCATCCTAACCATGTGAGCCACTACATTCCTTTGAGTATTTTATCTACTTGTAAGATAAAACAATGTGGGCTAGACAGTACAACCACCAGGTGATTTGCAGTTGGCTGACTGACCACACTCAGCAGAAATCTTCAATGAAACTACATGGAGGGAAGTGGGATATCATCACATCATAAGTGATGTGATTCGACTGTCTCTCTGGGTTGGGGTGTTGGAGAATCGGCTCCTCAGTGATTCTCCCATTCAAGGTGAGGGGATAGAAGGGGAACTCAACAAATTTGCAGATGACACCAAACGGGGGGGAATTGCTAACACTTTGGAAAACAGACTCAAGGTTCAAAAGGTTCTTGACAGACTTGAGCACCGGGTCCTATATAAGATGTAATTCAGTGGTGAGAAAATAAGATTCTGCAAGTAGGAAAAAAACAAATTGGTATCTGTCTCAATAGTAGTAACAGCGATTTGGTGTCCTAGATCACCACTTACGGTAAGCATGAATGAGCAGCTGCCAAAACTAATGCAGGCCTAACCACAGAGGAATAGTGTTAAGACAAGAAGAAGTGATAGTATCGCACTGGTGAGACCACTCTTGGAATACTGTGTTGAGTTCTGGTCTCCATGACACAAAAAAAGTTGTTGAGTCTCTGGAAGGTGGAGAGAAGAGCAACAAAGACAATAAAGTGTCTGGAAACTAAATTGTGTGATAAATAATTGAGGGATCTAGCCTATTGAAGAGAAGGCTTGGGGGACATGATAACAGTCCTCTAATATTTGAGGGGCTGTCATAAAGAAGAAGGGATTGACTTATTCTCTAAGGCACCAGAGGGCAGGACAAGAAGTAATAGGTGATAGCTTATTAAAGAGAGATCCAACTTAGAAATAAGGAGAATTGTGCTGATGGAATATTCAATAGAATAGCTTTCCTCCTGAAGCTGTGGGTCCTCCATCACTTGTAGTTTTCAAAAACAGACTGGACAACCATTTGATGGGTAGTGTAAGATTCTTGCTTTGAACGGGGTTGGAGTAGAATGGGGCTCCCCAACCGCTAGGCTGTGGCCCACTACCAAGCTGTGACCTCATGAGCAATGGGCCGGTGCACACGCACAGCTCCACTCATCTAATGATGTCACAAACGCTTCTCTTGTGTGAATGGAATTGTATGCATGTGTGTGTTGGCTCACCACTTGCATGGTCTGGTTCCCCTCTCCGTCCCCCAGCCAGGCCGCTAAGCTGCCTGTTCCTGATGCTTCAGAACTAGAGTGGTGAGAGCAGAGGCTGAGTGGGATGAGCACGCCCCACTCAGCCTTGCTGACTGGCCAAGGATGCCTGCACAGGACACCCAATCAGCTTTTGGAGCATCAGGTGCCCTCCGTGAGTCTGAAGGAGCACAGAACTGTGCTCCCAAAGGTTTCTCTTTTCTATGCCAAAAGACAAAAGGCTTCGGGGGAGCAATTTTGTGCTGTTTCATCCCTTTGTGCCTTCCATCCCTTTGCAAAAGCTTTTGGCGCAGAGAAGCCTGAAGGAGTGAGAAATCCTGCCCCAAAGGCTTCTCTTCTCTCATGTGAGTGGACCTGGTTATGCACCACTCACGTTACCTGGTTTCCCTCTTCCCCCCCCCCCCCCCGCCAGCCAGGCCACCAAGACACAAAAGTTGGAGATCTCTGGACTAGAAGACCTTCAATGTCCCTTCCAGCCCTATGTTTCCAAGGCTAGAGGAATTTACCTGTAGCCATTAGGCTTTTATCAAGCAAGGACTTCAGTACAATTATTATTTGGAGCAACTAGTGATTTATAATCTATTTTAAATCTGGTATAATCTGTTCAGTATAATTCCTTGGTTCTGTACCAGGAACCCAGCATGTCTACTGCAGCTCTTAGGCTTCAATGAGAGCTGATCAGAGTAGAGACAAGTTTGGTTAGTAATATTTAATTATGGGCTTAAAATTATCTATCAGCCCATTGGCTGCTCTATTATGTTTTCAGTGATATTCACTTGGAAGGAAGCCTATAAATAGAAGTTCCTTCCATGTGGCCCTTCTCAGAACATTTTATTTTGGCTGGTCTCCAGTTGATTTTAACAGCTTGCTGTAAAGCCCTTTCTTCAGGACAGTGTGAGTAGGAGGGAGGGGGGACTTGGTGCCTTTGACCCAACAAATCTTTGCAGTTTTCCTGGTATGATTTCAGAAGTGTTTTGCCATTGCCTCGTCCCTAGAACTGAGGGCCCCTAGAGCCTGCAATCACCTAGCTTTGTGCCTAATGCAGGACAAGAACTGAGTCTCCCAGGTTTCTAAACTCATTTCTCACTAATAAACCTGCTTTGGTTAGGATGCTGGATTGACAATTGGCAAGCCTGCATTTGAAGCCCGAATGCTGCTGCATGTTGGGGTGAACTCCCGTCATTTGCTCCAGCTCCTGCTGATCTAACAGTTCGAAAGCGTACAAACATGAGTAGATAAATGGGTAGCACTTTGAGGGTCTCATTAACAGGGACATGAAAGGAGCCTCCAACTGGGCATCCCCTGGCCAATGGTGATGTAGCCAACTGATCCTTTCATCATGCAAGCACTTCGGATGTGGAAGTGGTAGTAGGCTGCTTATACAGTCTACGTACAACTTTGACTACTAATGGATGGTAGAAAATTTGTTCCTACCTGTTTGCAATCTGGCAAGACTCATTTAGCGCTACCACATAGCAACCTTTTGGGAGTACTTCAAAGCTGTTTTGCTTCCCTTTTGGGGCCATCTTATCCAGAGTATTTAGAAAATATCTCTTATTTTCAAGCACAAGATAAGAGAAGAAATTTCAGGGAGTGTTATGTAACGAGATAGCTTCGCTCTAGCTGATTTTCACAGGAAGCTTGGCTCCTAGGACTTCATGAAAACATCCATGTTACTTTCTTCATAGCAATATGGAAGTGACTCGCCACTACCTTACAAGATGTTTTTTCAACTCCCAGTCCAGTTCATATTCCTCATATTTCCTGGGAATATCCTATCCAAGCAATAATGAGATTCAACTCCATTCAGCTTTTTTGGAGATCAGTGTCAAGCACAAAGAATCAGGACTACACATGAAGTTCCAATTAAGCCAATTTATTGCTCATGCCTATACACAAGAATCAACTAAAACTCAACACTAAATTGGTGCTAGAGAAGAGTTAACAGGATTCAAGAAGGGTTGGACTTGAAGCACTTGCAGGAACATAACAATTCTAGATCCAGTCCTCTTTTGATTCTGCCTCTGCTTCTCCTACAACTAGTGTTGATCAGTAAGACAGCAATTAAATTATTTGCTCCTACCTGTGGAGCTTCTACAGCTCCTCCAAATCATAATAATCTCACTAGAAATAATGTTCTAGTATTAAATTATTAATATTTAATTCTTTTAAAATAATAAGCATATCTAAAGTCCTTTCCCCCACTCATATTTTCTGTACACACGTGAACTTGGCTGGAAGAATGCTTGGAGGGGATGCTACGTTGGTGCAGGCTGTCATTCTGTAGTGCTTAAAACAGTGGTGGGTTGCTACTGGTTCTCCCCGGTTTGGGAGAGCCGGTAGCGAAAATCTTGATGTGAGAGCAAACCGGTTTGCTCTGACCATCAGCTGGGCCCTCCCGCCCATCCCCGTGCTATACTTACCTTTATTCCTTCAATTTTAGCCCAGCTGTAAGGTGCAGCAGAGCCAATTGCCATGCCTCAGCTGTATTGAAATTCAATGCGCTTGCGCAAACTGGTGATAATACCGGTTAGAAACCACCACTGGCTTAAAAGCCCATTGGAAGCTATGGGTATGAACAAGCTGCCGTTCTACGTTACCAGATGGAGAAAAGGAGAAAGCACTTTATGTTTGAACATCACTGGTGTGGAGTAAGGATATTTATTTATTTATATCCCGCCTTTATTATTTTTACAAATAATTCAAGGTAACAAACATATCCAACACAACATCCTCTTCCTATTTTCCCCACAGCAGTCCTGTGAGGTGAGCTGACCTGGAATGGTCATCCAGCTGGATTTCATGGTCTCCCGCTTTCTAGCCTGATGCCCTAACCATTAGAC